CATCATCATAACGTTTTTGTTAATTAATTTATTTTTACAAATAGTTCTTATTTGAAAATTCATTTTTCTTAATTATATAAACTTACGATAATAAGTTAAAGTTAAGAAAAAGTATATGAATATAATTATTTATCATATTTTTGTTCTATGTTACAATGGTTTCAAATTAATTAATAAGTTGACTAATGAATCATCATTTTAACGACATTTTATTCTAATGGATTGGTTTTCCAAAGTGATTTAGAGTTTGTGATCTTTTGTAAATACCTGAACATGTAATCTAAGAGAGAAAACGAGACGGAAGTAAGATAAATAAAATCAAGAGTGTGTGTGAGAAAGAAAGAGATAAAGATATAAAGATAGAACGATAGGGGAGGGAAGGATACAGGATTGTTTTACAAAGGTTTTTCCAAGATCGTAATATGTAACAGATAGCCATGTAAACTTTTTATCAAAGGAGAAATAATTCTCCAACTACCAATCCAATTGCTAATTGATTCTACTTACTGAAAGTATATTCATTATATAAGGGTGTATCATGATAAAAAAAAAGGTTTATATAAACTTCTATTTGACCTTATTTCAAAGACATAGTAATTTTTATGTTTATTGTAGCATATACGAAGTCTGACTTTTTTTTTCAAATATTGTAATTTAAATGTGTGATAAACATGTAGAAGAAATCATTGATATATAATAATAAGAATGAATCTATTTTGTAGCAATAAATGTAATATGTTCTCTAGTGTTGTGGTGGGAAAGAGAGCTAGAATCCGTTAAGGAGAAATGAAAAAAAAAGAATAAAACAGGAGGGGGAATAAGTGGGAAATTTGTTCCGTGAATCAACATTTTACATTCCTGATATATAAGCTATCTTGTCCGAAACCAAAGCATTAGTTTACGCGCTTCATCGTGAAAAGCACGTTTCTTAGAAATCATCTATTTCTACATTATTATCCATTGATTTTAATTAACTATGGAAAACGTTAAAACTATTCAAAGAGCCAACGATACAAATCCAGCTAAGCGAAAGGACGAAAGCGTGAATGGTAAAATATTTTGAAAAATCTATTATTATTATAACTTGCATTTTTCAAAGCAATACGTGGATGGGTTGAAAATTTTTGAGACTAACATAAGAACAAGACAATTTTTTTATCGGTTAAATTAATTTTGATTTAAAGAGTAATAAAAGTTTTAGCAAAAAAATATGTTTATCAAATATCTTTTGTCAATATTTTTTCAAGCCATCCATGCAATTTGTAAAAGTTAAACAATTAATATTGTTAATAAAATAAGTCAATTTAAAATTTTGATACATGGGATACTGTGACAGTTGTAAAATTACTTATCTAAAAAATATTTTATAATTTTGATACAACGAAATAGATTTGTAATTAGTTTAACAAATTTCTTAATGAAAAAAGATTAATTGATATTTTACAAATTATTGGTTCATTTAAGTAGCTTTTAGTTCACCCTATATTATCTAAGATTATTTTCTATTCTGTATAGTTTTTTGTTGAAGGGAATGGGGGTGGGGGGTGGGTTAGGTGAAGATTTTTCATTTCCGAATAAAATTTTTGAATTATATTTCTGTCATTGATAAATCTCGATAGCTCGAAAATCGATCGAGATTCGTAATTTTTATCGAGGCCGATGTTAATGACTGTTTTAGCTATTGAGGGTGAGAATAAAAACGATATACAATACTAACTGGCCTCGTGCCAAGTCAAGTATGACAGGTGAACGTAACGAATTGCATACATACTCATGACATGGGAATCATGACATCGATAGAGTTGCCTTCGGCTCTTTGATGTAAGTCAGATGAAAGCTATGAAGTTACCATACCCAGACTTTTTTTGATTAATTCGATCCATGCTTTTCTTCCAATATCTTTTCCCTTCCTTTCGATCGATGCTATTAGTTAAATTCTAAGTTATTACCTGAATCTCTTATCTATTTTCTAATTTTGGGCACATAAATAAAACAAACAAAAAATAATCATGTCTAAATATAAATAAATATAATAGAAACTCGAAACGTTATAAAGTATTTTCAATTTACACGTTGTTGATGAGATAGTGAGATAAAATATATTTAAAATCTATAACATAATTGAATTAACAATATATGAATTTGTATTATTATCATCAAATTCTATGTAGTTAAACTACCGAACAAAATATTATAATACAATGCAGTAAAAGTTGTTTTATAATCTCCTATGTGTCATCGACTAATGAGGAATATTAATTAACAAAAAAAAAAGACTTAATAATGAATGGTGTTCAATAATTAATAATTACGTAAATAGATTCTGTTAGATGTAACATGGTGTCGTCCTTGTGAAACATCAGGAATCAGTTATTTTTAATAAATGATAAATGTCGTCGTATACAACTTCTTTTTATCGATTAGAATTTTTTCTTTTTTTTTTCTTGAAATATTTTTAATCGATAATTACATGCTATTAAGGCTCATTACAATAAAGTGATTAGTTATATTTTCTTGACTCTGACGTAAATGGTTACATTTTCGAATATTTTCTGCAATCTGCACAACAACGTTTATTTTATTACAACATTTGATCTTGAATGATCTTCACTAACAATAAGAGAAGAGAAATCTCTTTTATGCTCCCACCTATGTAACAAAAGAATAAGTATCTCAATATACCCCTATTTATATCGTGCACAGGTTCTGTATTAAACATTTTTTCATATTATTACAAACAACAGATATTCAAGGTAAACAAAGTAATTATCTTTAGACGTGAATATCTCAAGAATAAATGATGAGAATGATATGGTCGTGCAGATAATTTTTATTCATCTTTCATGCTCTATCAGAATATTCCAAGAAAATATATAGTTCTATTTAAAAAAAAAAATAAAGTTGATTTTCTAATCTTGTAAAAAAATGTCCTTGAGAAAAAATTCTCCCAAGCATTAAAATTTCCTCTTTGTAATTTTTGTCCGTTCTAAAAAATTGTTTCTATTTCATTGTGTGTACATGCAGAGTACTCTTTATTTTTTCGAATATGTTAACGTTAGAGTAACAATTGTGCATACTATTTCATTCAAATATATTTAATTTATTTTTAAAGACTATGATGTATCTTGCATAACGATTAATTCGGTAATAATGAGAACGATAATAGTAATGCATATATATGCATGTTTGTATTAGAAATATATATCCCTAATTTCCTTTTATCTATAAATCTAAAGGATTTATACATTGAAATAACGAAATGTAACAACAGTGTCATTATTAATGCTCATAAAATATATATAACGAATGTTTCGTAAGACGTGCACGAGTTTCATAATCCCTCTATCGGTTGCAAGTAGTTAAAATCAATCGTGATCAGACAACCTTAAGTAGTGTAACTATGAATATGCAAACAAGTACGCGTAATCGTATTCTTTCTTTTTATTTTTTTTATTTCCATAATTAAATGGCCTTTCTTTAAGTCTTATATAAATGGTTTTCATTTATATATACGTGCATATATTAATCGTTTATATTAACCCTTTGAGTACATTTGACGAGTGAGACTCGTCATTTGCTTACTTGGGCGAAGTTACAGTGGACGAGTCTGACTCGTCATCTGAATTTAAGAAACTTATATAAATATATAAATATTTCTATTTTGTTTCATTTATATATTTATTTATATTTTGTAATTGAAATGTTATTGCAAAAATATATTTATATCACCAATATAAATATATTCTAAATAAAATGTATTACTTTTACATATTAATTCATATAGCTACAAATTAAATCCGTTATATATGCATAAAAATCTTTAAATAATTCAATACTCAAGGGGTTAAAAGTAATTTTTAAACAAGCATTATGATTGATATATACTGTTAGAAAAGATAGGATTAATTTGATTGCTTTGATCAGATTTTACGTATAACTTGTTCTTCCTTATCTTTATTATAATTTTAGAAAAAGAGAATTATTATTTTGGTTTAGAAGAAAATAAATTGTATTTCTAAATTAAATATTTTAATTTAGAGTCTTCTTGTCCAATGGCTTTCATGCAATGCCATTATTGATACATTTCTCTTACGATAGAATTAAATTTCATTACAGACGAAAGGGACGCTCGTCCCATCACCATTAGGACGAACTATTACTGGATGATAAATAGATAATTAATAGATGATAAATGACTATTCTTATATTAATTTAATATACTATTAAATATTAAATTAATTAATATTATATTATATAATATCAATTAATTATATTAATTTTAATAAAGAAAATACACTTTCTCGATAGGAATATTATCTAACGTTCTAATTTGGTTGCATATTTATGTATGAAGGTGGTTTGAAAAGTCTTGAGCTTCAATAAAAGAACTTTTATTTAAAAAAAAAAATAGGTTTTTAATCAAAAACAATTGTTTCTATGATAGGCCCGTAACTTTCAACTTTATTAACTTTTAAAATTTATAAATAAATTATCAAGTCTATAAACAAACGTGATATTTATATAAAGGAAATAAAAAAATGTAAATAATTTCTGTTATTCGATCGTACGTCACTGTCTCGAAGGTAATCATTTCGGGGTATACCTAAGAAATTGTTTTACTTTATTTTCCTTCTTAAAAGAGGAAAGCGAGAGCTAACCGGTCTTGACATAGGTGGGATTTACTGTGACGTTAATACGCTAGCTCTTTTAATAGTTTATTTATTTTACATGTTTCAACGAATGATCGATCAGAATTTATTTTATTATTTCCTGTTATTTAAGATATTCCTGACAAATTGATGTATTTTTTTAAGAAGATAATTAACTTTGATTTCGTCTCATTCGTATAGATTGAGAATGTAATCTGATTCAAGTTGTACATACATTTGATACTATGGATTTAATAATTAATCATGTTAATAATTCATAAGTCAAACGAAAAGTAAACAAATTTTTATAATTTGTTTACAATTATCGAAAAAATTAACAAATCGATAAATAATTCAGTGTCAATAATTTATGCGAAGAAATCGTTAAAAAAAAAAAGAATAAGGAAAGAGTAAAACACATAATACAGAAAATCTTGAGAAATAGAAAAAATATGTAAAAAGAAAGTTTCAATAATTTTCTAATCGAGAAGAGTAGAAGAAGAAGGAAAAAATATTAAGTTAATAAATGATACGGTGTTAATGACTTATGTGAAGAAATCTTTAAGAGAAGAGGAAAACACGAGAAAATATTGAGAATTAGGAACAAATTTATGAAGAAATAATTTCCATAATTTTTCAATTAAAAAAGAAAAGAAAAGAAAATGAGAAATCGTGATAAATAATTTATAATTATTGTACATATTTTATATCGAATTTGATTTGATGTTAATCATTTTCGCAAAAAAAAAAATCAATTAAAAAAGAAATGAAAAAAAAACACACAGACACATACATAGAAAGCGAAGAACATGTGAGATAAAAGGAACGTACTGAAAGAAAGACAGAGATAGAAAGAGAGAAGGAGAGAGAAAGAGAGAGAGAGACAAGTGTCAGAGAGAATGAGAGTAGGAGGGAAACAAAGGTGGGAGAAAGGCGAAGAGTGAGTAGCAGGAGTAGGGGAAAAGAGAAGGAGAAAGAGAGATAGAGAGAGAAAGAGAGAGAGAGAGAGAGACAGACAGAATGTTCCAGGGGACGTTAGCGTATGCTGTGATTCTGTTCGTCTGGTTCAGTCACACCGCATCACTCAGGTGAATGTAATCGTTCTCCACCTTGTACATTTAGCATAACTGTTAATCTTCCTTCAAATCTTCACTCTCACTTTTTAAATTTATTACTTAATAAGAATAGTATAAAAGTAATAATCTCAATAAAAATTTGTCACATAGCACATTTTGTAAATTTGTTACAATAATTGTACAAAAGTGGGACAATTTTTGTTCACGTTTCTGTGACAATTGTGATATTGCCGGTTTCACATTGACAAGTTATGTTTTTTGGTAGGTGCTAGAAAGAAAGTGACCTGAAAAAAAACATATAAGTAAGTTTTTAAATGAACTTTTATAAGTATCTTTCTATCGATAAATGTTTATTTTTTGGGAGAGGGACAATTGTTTATCGAAATATTTTCTTATGCGTTTTTTACGTTTGTTTTTTTTTCTTTTTTTGGTATTCAGTTATTGTCATATATATATATGTATATATAAAAATTTGTTTTCTTGTTGATCATCAACTTCGATATCTTCATTTGATTATTTTTCATTCTCGAAGAAAATCCGAGCAACAAGAACCTTCGGCTCCGAACCTTTAAAGGAGAAAATACAAGAATAATCATGAATGGATTATCAAAACAATGTATCAACGATGAAAACTCGATGAAAGCGAAGAAACCTCATCCACTGAGGTCCATTTCTTGGAATAAGAATATCGAGGAAGGAGATTTGGATATTCCTGGAACACCAAGAACACCTCGTACTTCCACTACTCCAGGTATACCTAATTTCCTGGATTTTAAAACATCATTATACGTGAATCATCCTTATTGAAATTCCTTAAAGAAATCCAATTATGATTTTTTTGTGGAGGGGATAATGCGTATGGAATTTACATGATATTTATTTTATAACCTGTTGCACGCCCACTTTAAATTACCATAATTAAATTAATTATATTTGAAATGTTTATCATAAAGTGCTATGATTGAAATGATTATATTTTTTTTTCTTTTTTGGGTTTGTTTTTAAAGTGAACAATTACATATATTGAAATTAGTATTTAAATTATACAATCATGAAATCGTTAAATGACATAATTTTAATTACTTAATCTATATCATTTTAATTAACAATCTGAATATTATAGCTTTTTTTTGTCTTTATCGTATTTTATTGAACTTCTTATCGATTTTATATCGATAAGCAAATTTTTAATAATTAAATAAATAAAAAGTAATGATACTATTTTAATGGATAATCCTTTAATTTAAATATTTAATAATAATTAAAAGAAATTTATTGAAAAATTAATAATAAATTTATAAAATGATTATTACATTATTTTTTCATCGTTTATATGACAAAATAATCGTTAATGAGCTGTATAATAATGGATATATAAATGATTGTTTTATCTTTAAAGTACAATCACACACACAAATGATTTCTTTCGAAGAAGCCAGATATAGTGGAATAAAAAATTTCGTAATGACTTGTATTCACGGAAAGAAAAACGAATCAATAACTTGTTTATAATAGCGTTCGCGATTCGATTCACTTGAGAAAGATACAATTTGAAATTCGTCTTTTTTATAATACTCTCGTATCGTTGGATATGAGAATATACTTCGTGTTATTCTAAATGATGAAATATTTATCACATATTTTTATTATAATCTATTATTTTGAATCAATGTATGACATAAAATATATTAATGAGTCAGATGACCCATTAAGAAATAACAATTAATCGTAATGATAAAACAAAATATGTTGTTTATTTTTCATGGTCAACTAACACAAAAAGAACTTGACCTTGAATAACAAATTGCATCTTTCAAAAGTGGACTTATATCTCGAAGTCCGATTGGCATATCTAGTTGATTCATATAATAATAATAATAATAATAATAATAATAATAATAATAATAATAATAATAATAATGATTTTAAACACGTAAAACAAAGATCATTTTTTGAGAAGAACGAGACAACACTTTTCCAAGATAAAAGTCAATATTTATTTGTTCTGACCACCCATAGATCGTAGAGCGTCATTATGAACCCGTGAGACGTAATGGGTCGTGACATGCGATATAGAGCCGATATTTATGCGCTTATACAACATTGCCAATTGAAAATCCGGAGATGATCGTTTTGTAAGATTAGAGAAAGGATCTATCCAGGGAATGTTATGTACAATTAAAGTTAACGTTTAATGTTTATATATTTTTATCAAATGTTATGCACGAAGAAAACAATTATCATTTTCTTCATTTGACTGCAATTAAAAAAAATTGATTTTAATTAAGGTACAAGTAGAAAGAGGAAGGAGAAATTTTCTCTAAATATTGTAAGATAAATATAGGATATCCTAAAAGCCGATTTACCAAAACAAAAAATAAAAATATAATGTTAAGTTTATTAATATAATAATATTATAATATTATGCTTTCCATTTCAATATATGAATTTACGGTTAGTTTAAAAATTAGGACTCTGTGATGTCGCCATTACAAGTATTTGATAAAAAATTCATTTATTATTTGTTAATCCGGTAAAGCATAATACACTGTAATCATTAATTGAAAGTAATCTGGCAATGAGAGCGCTTACATAAATTATATGTACATATAAATGAATATAATCGATACTCGTGTCGATCATTTTATCGATTAAATAATCGATTTGTCGTGTAATCAAGTATCTCGAAAGTATCGAATAACTTCCAAGAATATATGATTCCAATGTATGTATCTCTTGGAGATTAAAAACTTTTTTGCTATTTTTTGTAGCTCTTTCATTTGAATATATTATTATTGGAATTATGTATATATATATATATGTTTACATGTACATATGTTGATACCTGGTTATGATAAGAGTCTGATGCAATATTGTTCAAATTTGCTTACAGGTCATGAGAACTGTACTTTTCATCATGATCTCGAATTGGATCATAGACCACCTACACGAGAAGCGTTGTTACCAGAAATGTCAAGAAGTTATAAATTACTTTTAAGTTCACTAGGAGAGGATCCAGATCGACAAGGACTTTTAAAAACACCAGAAAGAGCAGCCAAAGCCATGCTATTTTTCACTAAGGGATATGATCAATGCCTTGACGGTAAGAAAACATTTATTTATTTTTCAGTAACGTTAGATACAAGCATCTCTGAAGTATTTGTACCATAATGGGCAGGTAAAAAAGTATAAACTTAATTTTGATGAAAATAAATCAAACATTCTATTCTAGATTACTATTATTTGATTATGTTTGAAAATTTATTTTATGTAAATATAAAATGTTAAAATAATTTTAACAAATAAAAAAATATCATACGGTGTTTTATATTAAAATACAAAATACAAAAATTTATTTAATACTATATATTTTATTTTATTAATAATATTTAATTTTTTATACTTATTAATTACTTATTAATAATAATAAATATAATATTATTAATATATTACTCATTTAATTATACTATTATTATTATAAATATTTTATTATACTATTTTACTAATAATATTTTTTATAAAAATAATCTCAATAAAATTTATTAATTTTATTTATTTAAATATAAGCCATTTCCAATAACTCAAGTAAATATTTAATATTATAAAGGCTTCACACACAATAAAATTAATTATTTCAATTTAAAAGCTTTTGACCGTCCATTAAATACATATCAAGGATAATTAGTTTTCTAAGAACCATATACACATATATGCATGTATGTTCGAGACACATACTATCTCGTTTTATGACATTTAATAGGGAATTCTATTCCATATAAGAAAGAAAAATCCCTGAGCTCTCAGGAATCATTAGAGGAATCCAAGTATCATTAAACTTCCGTGTATCGTTATTCAAAATCGTTACGACACCTTGTCATTGGGATTCACGGCCAACAAGATTATCGGAAATACGTTCACTTTTGAAATGTATGACTGTTCGATCATTGTATGCGTATGCCTATGTGTGACTTTGACATTGATTCACTTGGGTGAAAGTAATCAATTAATCAATTCATTATAATCAAGGAAATTTGTTTCCTTACATTTGTTTCTTCTTAATTTCAATATTATTTGAGAATAAAATCAAAATTAGGATTTCAAGATCGATGTAACGATAACGATGACAAAAAAATTTCTTGGATTTTTTTTTTCTTATTTCTTAGTACTTTATTTCCTGAATTCTTTTTCATCCTTTTTCTTTTATGAAAACAAAAAGAATGAGACATCGAACTACGTGCACTTATATCTTACAATAAAGTACTGCATTTTCTTCTTTTCCTACCTTTATTTCGCTGACGTTATATCGTCGAATGAAAAAGGATGAAAAAAAGTCAAGAGAAGGAGAAAAGAGGGTGTGCGCACCTAACTGCGACTTGGAAAAAGGGAACGTAAAGCTCTTGATATATAAATGCATTTCAGGGACGTAGTTACAATTGCAAGAAAAAGAAAGAGAATGGTGGAGAAAGAAAGATAGAGAGTAACTTTGCTTTTACATTCGGCCATTTTCTTTGATTCTATAATCCTATGATATAAAGACTAAAGTGTAACTTTGAGATATTGGCAAAATTGTATTGTATTTTACATTTTTGTATTCTCTAGAAATTAAGTTATATAACAATTGTAAGAAATATTATAACAAAAATGTGGCATTAAATATAGACAAGAAATATATTAAATCATTATCTTTTATAGAAATATAAATTTTTACAACCATAATAAGAGATATAGTATTGAATATGCAAAAAAAAAAGTAAATTGTTATCTTATAGAAATTTAAATGATATTTTTGGAACCATATAGCATATTAAATTTACATATACAATCAAAAATAATATAAATTAATAAAGTTGCTAATCAAATTAAAGACTTTTCTTAAAAATGTCAGACAAATTAGTATGGCAATCGATCGTGTTGAGTTCACTTCACTTCTCTCTCTCTCTCTCTCTCTTTCTCTCTCTCTCTCTTTCCCTTTCTCTCTCTCTTGAGTAGCTACAGGTACTGAGAAGAGTTTAATTCATTTTACCATTCAAGTAGTTCTTCTATAGATCCTTACGAAGGGTGGTGCTCTTCTACCAGTTCCATTCTCAAGATAACTTATCTTCTCAAATTCAAGCTATCTTCTTACGATTCTATAAATATTAAACGAACTTGCTTTTAATACAAAAGCTTTATCATTTTCTTTATTCTATAATCCCTCATCAATCATTATAATTAAAAGATTTAACAAAAATGAAAAAGGAAAATAAATTGAACAAAAATCGATGCAAATAATTATCATCATGTTCAAACAAAAATGATCATTCAACTTCTTTACTTTGTAATTAATAAATGAAATAGTACGTTAAAATAAAATATCATTTCGATCATATATTTGTAAAGAGATTGTACTTGGTTGACCAGAGAACGAAATACGTTCACCATTGTCGGTCATTGCGAAGGTGTTTCTTGTTAAGGTTACCATGGAAACCATGGAGAGAGAAAGAGCACCCTCCATTACCTACCTTCTAACACGTACTAACCACGGACACACCTATTCACCACCACCAATTCTCACGCTATAGTAAGTAGGTCAATATCGGCTAAATCACAGACACCAGGAACACGAGGACCTTAACCCAGGCCGTTTATAATAGGATCTCGTTCCTTCCTTTCAATTCTTCGAATAAAACACACATTTCTCTTTTTCTTTATCTGTCTCAGAAAACATTTACAACAACAAAGAAATAGAGAAAGATATATAGAGAACACTAAAGGTTTACTTTACGAAATTACAGAGATAAATTTTGCATAAAAGCGGTTTTTAGGCTTCTAAAACTAACGAACAAAAAAAAAGGATCAATTACCAAAAATTAATAAAACTATCCAACATTTTGTATTTACACGCAAGATCATATTTTTACGTGTATCAATAACGATGCATTCTAATATATTTATTCGAAATTTCCATAAGCAAATCTGATAAAATTTACGCACGATGGTGCTTTCATTTAAAAATTCTCATCACGTTCTGTGCTGTACAAGAGAAATTCCCTTAATTCTCGAACTATGCTATAGAAATGCTGTATTATAAAAGGATTTTCTGTACTTTCTGTACATTCTGTTCATAGACAAATAAATTTGTATTTTTTATGTTCTAACAGATGTCATCAACGATGCTGTATTCGATGAGGATCACGATGAAATGGTTGTAGTTAAGGACATAGAAATGTTTTCTATGTGTGAACACCATTTGGTTCCTTTTTATGGAAAAGTATCTATCGGTTATCTACCTTGCAAGAAAATTCTTGGTCTTAGCAAATTAGCCAGGTAAGAACTTCAAAAAAATAAAAGAAAAAGTCATTAAAAATAGAAATATACGATTTAAGTTTAGTATGCGGTTGATCTTCAAGGTTATCTCTAGTTAATAAATAGTGAACGTTAGCGAACGAAAGGTATTCTCGCCTGTACGTGTGGTTACATATTATATTTTTTGTTAAAGTTTTTTTTCTTAATTGAATTAATAACAATCTTCCTCCCTATAAATCTGAATGTTATCTAACAACGATAACTGCTCTTGATTAAGAGCATGAGATATTATAAATACTTTCACGGTAATTTATTACAATTGTTTGAGTGAGTAATCCGGTTTACTCGTTAAATTCCAATTTAACAGTAAACAATCAAATCGATCATTATTAAAATAAAAATTCGTTTATCTGGGAATATAATAATTTAATAGATTTTTAAAATATTATATATTCAAATCGAATAGCAACTTCCTACAATTTGCGATTTCACTTCTTTACTTTATTATTAAGATTTTTTACCGATCTTGTAGATTGATAAAAAGTTATATAAGTAAATACATAATAATATATAATTTAAAGTTATTCATTTACTGTTGTTCACAGAATTGTAGAAATCTTTAGCAGACGTCTTCAAGTTCAGGAACGCTTAACAAAACAAATCGCAATAGCTGTTACGAAAGCTGTGGAACCTGCGGGAGTGGCCGTAGTGATAGAAGGAGTGTATGTATTATTTTATACAATCTATTATACATATACATATCTTTCATATATTACGTATAAACATGCAAAAACGTGAACGGTTTTTTCAAACGAATATAATCATATCTTGTAAAATGTATCATACGATGATTATTTTGTCACGTCCTATATTTGCGAAAATTAATCTTCAAATTTGTACAAAAATACTTTCGATAATTCGATTAAATTTGATTTGTTTTTTATTTGATTTATATTGGATTTAAACATTCGGAATAAAATCTTATTATTAAATTATTATAAAAATAATATATAAGATAAGAATCAAATGACTTACGTTTAGCTCTGGTACCATTTCAACACACTCGAAGGCTTGGGCAATAGTTTTCGCAAGGATTAATCTCATTTGCTATTTCAACCTTGAGCTAATAAGTAATATTATCGTGAAAGAATTTTACACCTTCTCATAAACCTGAATATTTTAAACTACAATCATTAATATAATAATTATAATAATACTAGCAATTAAGTTTTACATAAAGATTATAACATATTTGATAATCGATATGTCATATTTTAATTATCGGCTAATTACAACTTCAAAATCACGTTTTAAATTTTTTTTACATTTCAATTCATATCAATTTGTTATTAATTATTTTAATATATTTATCAACAAAATTTGTCTCGACATCTTTGACTATAAAAAGTATACCTTCAATGATATAGGATTTTATGATATCGTTTTAATTCTAATTATGCATTCATGATTATTTAATCAATTTATACATGTATGCCCGGTAAAGATTACTTGTCATAATTACGCAAACAAAAAAACTTGAAGGTTGAGTAAAACTTGTTACTTTGTAGTTAGATAATATTGTAAGATTAGAAAAAGAATAAAAAAAGGCAAACTTGTTCTTCTTGTTTTTCTTTCTATTTTTTTTTTATGAGCTTACAGTTAGGTATAATAAAAAAAAATAAAATTGCTTATTTAACAAATAGGTATTATAATTAAAAATAAGATTATTTCGATTGGAATCTACATTCTAACGGTCTTATTATTTTCTATTAAAACAAAAGTATGTGTGTGATATATTAAATTAGTATTACAAGAATTAATAATATTATTTGTACTATATAATTATTATTTTACAAATGTAACACACAACCAATAATAATAGCAAAATAATTTTAAAAATCCAATAATGATAAAAATCAATGAATTTTTTAACATTATCTTTTGAAATTTCAGACATATGTGTATGGTAATGAGAGGCGTTCAGAAAATCAATAGCAAGACCGTTACTTCAACGATGCTCGGTGTTTTCCGGGACGATCCAAAGACTCGTGAGGAATTCCTCAATCTTGTCCATAATAAATAAATAAAAAGAAATCTGACGGGAAGGTCTTAATCGACGTTTTTTCATCACAATCATGATTGGTCTTCATATTAATATGGAAATGTTTTACAAATCCCTTTTAATATCTTCTTTTTTTCTTTAATTTCGTCTTCTTCTTCTTCACTAATTAAACTCTTCTTCTTCTTCTTAAATTTCTTCTTTGACATTAAGATCGAAACGTTTGTGAATAGATCTTCCTTAATATTGAATTATTTTCAAGATTCAATTACACATGTACTTAAATATACAAACAAAAAAAGGAGGAAGATATTCACGCGTTTAAATAATAATGTCGGTTTCTTCTGCTCTTCAAATGAAATACATTCAAAGAGTAAACCCAAGGTGTTCGTGAAAGAAAAAAAAAGAGAAAAAAAACAAAGACAATACAATATTTTCGCAATAATATCGATCGTTCGAATTTGCAAATGATTTAATATGCACGAACGATTAAAGCAAAATGAAAAGGGGGATAGAAATTTGAATCGAAATTAAATTTGTATGACAAAAAATAATGTTAATAACATATGTATGATAATAACATATATTGATAGATATGTGTATTTTAACAACGTGCTGCTGGTACAGCAAATTTTTAGTTATTTTAGTTATTGTTTTTTAACTTTTTCCTTTATCTTTTTTAATTATGATAACATCAACAATTTACACAGACTCAATATATAATTTGCATTGTTTTCACGTTTATTTTATTCCCTACATAAAAATTAACGACGCGTTGTTGACAAAAAAGAAACAAACTTCTTAAAAAGTTATTAGGAATTCTTAGGAATTTTCTAATAGCCTAATTTACTCTAAAATATTGACAATAATTTTATTCATAGATAAAAAGTCTAAAGTAAATAATAAATGAACTATATAATAAGAGTACTCAATGTAATATTATTTTATTAATTTTATAGACTCGCGCAATTATTGTAAAACGTTACGGCCAAACGTTTTGCTATCTTTAATCGTGACGTATCATATTTATATGTTATGATAACTTATCATATTTTTTCTTTTTTCTTTCCTTTTTTTAATCGCACATATGTCTTAATATATTTTATTAATAATTTATTAATACAATTATAATAATAATAATAATATTACATTTAAAAGATTATACACTGCATTCTTCGAAAAACAATGATCAGCCATGCGTTGTTATCGAATTATGCAACAATCCAAAAATCTGTGTGAATTTCTTTGTTAAATTCAATCATTTATCATACTTTGTTACAAAAAAAAAAATAGGAAAATGAAGAATTTGTATACGTATACATATATATTTATTAAAAATTGATCTTTAATATATTTTTGTTTATCAATAATTGAAAATGTAAAAAAAAAAGATACGACAGAATTATTCAACGAGAAATATTGTATTTCGTACCGAGCCAGTTTACGTAGCCATATCTTTAATGCAAACTATCGATAATTTATTTTTATATAATAATAATAATAATAATAATAATAATAAAAATAATAATAATAATAATGTTGATCGATTATAATATTAATGATAGTCTTAATAGATAAGGCAGCAAATTGCTGCTTTATTCGCAAAAAAATTTATGTATATCTATATATAAATAAATATATAAATATGCATAAATATATTTAAAATAATTTTATAAATTGTTGCAAAATTGATAAGATCGATAAATAGATGAATCGATTCGAAGTGATAACAGTAAAAATTTATAACTTTTTATGCTCTACGCATAAATTTATCGATCTTACTATATTTTGCTATTATAAAATAAATGTTGTTATATTAAGACTCGACCAATTGAAGTTTGGTAAACTATAAGCGTTTATGTGTTATTTCATGTTGGATTGAAAAGGGACATATATTAACGATTATTTATGGAAAAAAGATAAGAAAAAAAAATAATACAGAAACGTTTAATATTTTTCTGATGATGTATATATATATACATATATATACATACATATCTATATGTATATATTATTTAATATAAAATTATATTTATATTTTAAATCTGTTGTATGATTATCCATCTCAATCCCCTTGGATTATTGTAAAACAAAAACACGATAAGGTGATATAGGCATACGTAAATTATTAACACGATTTCGTAAATTATCAACAAGGAGGTATTTCGATTTTCTTCATAATTGGTGAACCGCACGGACGTGACGATGATCTTTCATCTAATTTATACGCATTTTCGGCATCGCCCTGATGCAATAGAAAGAACATACTATTGTTGGAACCTTTCTGATTTTTTCTTGCAGAACAACAGGGACTGCCACAAGGTAGTTTGATTGTGTTTTCGCATTTCATGTTTTTTCCATTTCCATAACTGTTACTACATTCTTTGCTTGTTATATGTGCTGAATAAGGTTGTTTCATCTTTGCAGGACATGGAGTAGAGTCTTCACTAGACTCACGAAACAAAAAAATATAAAATGATGAAAAGAATAATTTGATAAAAATGAAATGCTGCTATTTATTGGGTCTCTCCCAGTATTGGTAATAAAATATTATATGAACAAAATTTTGATACTGACCAAATAAATAGAAGCGAAAATAAAATTATAAGTAAAATAATAAAAGTCATACGTAGTAGGTATAAATGACATTGGACAAGGAGCACAAGGGCTACAACATGGGATTGGAGGACAACGTAAAACTCTTAAGGCTTCAACATTGAGAGACGATACCCCACGTAACAATGCTCGCTGGATAGCATTCTCGTAATCGATCCTTTCCTTCATTAATTTTTCATTTTCTTTTCTAAGACGTCCTATCTCAGATTCCAACTGTATATGATAAAAATGACATATCCGATAAATAACTGGAGATTGTATTTTATTACATATCAATCATTACAACTACAAATTTGCAAAAATACAATTTTAAATTTACGTATACCTCCATTTCACGTCTTTTTCTTTCCTTATCCTTCTCACGAGCTTGAACGGAACATCTCCTTTTCATTTCTTTCGTTTCTTCAATTTTTTCTGGTCTCTCAATCTTTTCTGGTCTCTCAATTTTTTCTGGTCCCTCAATTTTTTCTGGTCTCTCAATTTGTTTTGGTCTCTCAATTTTTTCTGGTCTCTCCATTTTTTCTGGTCTTTCAGATTTTTCAATTGGTTTTTCTATTGAATTGTTCAAATTTTGTTTAATTAGATTATCAGGATTTAATGCTTGGATGACAGGTGATGGTAGTTCAAGTTTTGTTGTCTTTATTCCTTCTAACTCAGTTCGTTTCTGCTCGATTATAAATTAATTAATTGATTATGCGCAAAGTATCAATATTTTGATAATTACATACACATATTGTATAAAAAAATAACTAACTTCTGTCAGCATTTTTTCACAATAGGTTTTTTCATTCATACATTCAGCAATTTGTTGCTTAAGTCGATCAACTTCAACTGTAAGATCTGCAATTTGTTTATTAAGTTCCCTTATTTTATTCTCCTTATCATTAATAGCATGGATCTGTGATAATAGTTCTTTTCGTAAACGTTCAATATCTTCTTTGCAATCATCTAATTTATTTTGTACCGTGGTACTCCAATGTTGAATTCTTCCTAAGACGTCTACGATTGCCAGCTTTTGTTATATAAATAAAAAGAAAATAGAAATGTTTTAATTAATACACTTTCCAATTAAAAATATTTCATTTATAGATCTATTTATGTCAGATTTCTTTATGCATACAGGATTCAACCTTTAAACCATGTTCAAAGTTCTCTTTTAAAGTTGCTAATGCTTTGCCAGCATCTTGAAGATTTTGATGAGCGTATTCAATTATTTCATTTATTTTATTATCGCTGTAATTAATATCATTATTTTTTCTTTTTTCTTATTTATAGTTAATATATTAACAATAGAGTAATTTGATCACCTTGTTAAATGTGTTGGACTTCTCGAAGGGTAAATTTGCTTGTCGATCAAAGCAGATTCACTAGCAAGAAATTCCTTAGAAGATTCTTCAGGAATTTCTTTACTAGATTCAACGGTTGATTCTATAGGAGCTACATTAATAGATTCCGCTACATTTTCTACATTTTCTTTAATATTATTAACATCAGCTCCACCAGAAAGACGTTCTCGTTTAATAATTTTAATTGGATTAGATTTACAACTAAATCTTGTTATTAATTTGGAATTGGTAGATAATTCATTTGATATTTTGCCATCATCGCTAATTGAATGCATGGCTATGTTATTAAATAAATTATATTAAATTTCAATCTAGCATATTATATATATATAGATCTATTAAATATTCCTAGAAGTATAACTTATTACTTTTATATAGTCTTGACGACATTTTAATTGTAATTTAATTTTTTTTATTCTAGAAGAATTAATGTATATGAAAATGATTTACGAAACTTGTTAATTTTTACGATAATTTATCCAGAATATTTTAGATTATAAGGTTATAAACAAAATTATATTAACTGTTTAAAAAGTTAGCATTTGTTTTATGCTTTTTGTTTCTTATGAACCTTTTCCTATATACTAATTTTAATTATTTTCTATAAAGAAGGAAGGTGTAAAAATAGAAATAAAAGAGTATCTCTTTTACTCTTGAAGCAAAAAATATATCAGTAAAACGTTTATTTTAATAAGTTCCTTAAATAGTATAAGTAAAAATTTTCACAGATATAAAATATGAATATGTCGGGATCACCGCCCCCAGCTTCTCTAACTCGGTGGACCTCCACGAAGTGGTCTCGGATCCGCTCACGGTCAATGGAATATGCCGTGGGCGGGCCCGAAACCACCTCCCTTATGGCCCGCCGCCGATTGATTATTCAATATTTTCATTCTTGTTAAATGTTCATATCACTAAAAAATAAATTTTATACACTATTTAAATAGAAGAATTTTTGGGAGGTGGCCTAAACACACCAACTACAACTGCATGGTCCCTCTCATAAGGTTCTAAAGTGATTTGTTCTTGTGGTTTTAATTTATCTCCAATAAGTTTCTTTACTTCTCCAGCGAAGACAGCTTCTGGTTGTGCAGTTGAATCTATGCAACTTGCCTAAAATTATATTTAAAAAAAAAGAAAAAACAATTTAGACACGTGTTATCAAACAAAACAACATACATGTAGATAAGAAAACAAACCTTTATAGAAATTACGAAGTGGCCACCATTTTTGAGAAAATATTGAGCATTTAATGCTACTATTCTCGCTTGATCTGGTTGTGCTACATCTGCAAATATCGTATCAACCATACCAATAAGCATTCTGTATTTGTGAGGATGCCTAGCATCTTCTATTATAGGGATGATGTTAGTCCTTTTCTTGGCAACATTTATGAGATCTCTTCCAGATCTGTGTGAAAACTCAACAGCATACACTAGTCCTTCCTAAATAGAAAAATAATCAAAATTATTCATATAATCGATCTAATAGGAAAAAATATATACATACAAATATTAAATTTGTATGCATACCTTTTCAAAGTAAAGAAATATATACTTTACTTCACAAAAAAATATGTATGTAATTATTTTAGCATAACTTCGACACCAAATCGACGATTATCAAATCAATTTGGCTCTAATGTATGCATGTATTGATAATACATTAATGTAATACTATATAAATCAATGAATCCTACTTGTGGCGAATCTTACGAGTTAAACATAAAAAACAAAAAGTATAGTACTAAATATAGTACACAGCTTATTAAAAGTATTGAATCATAGTGCAAAGGGTTAAATGATATTTAAACATAAAAGAAAAATTTCTTACCGGACCAACAACATCTGCAACATGTGAAACAGTAGTACCCGAAGCTGCACCTAAATACAAAACTTTACTTCCAGGCGGCATGTGAATTTGATCAACGCCTCCGACAATAGCGGCAGCCAATTTAGATCTGAAGGGATTCCAAACTCTGTATTCAACTTTTTCTCCGTTTTCTCCCTGCACAATTCATAATTAAATAAACATTTAAATATATTGTTAACTACCATATTTAATTATTATCAAATAGTTATTAAGTATTTACCTCTACACTAATTCTCTTTTCACCATAAACTTCTGAACCAGGTACCAGATTTAAAGTAACCAAAGCATCTTCTTTCCCTTTGGCAATAAAAACTCCTGCATGACGATGGGGTTCTATAAGAACGGTTTTGCCTCCTTTAAAACCTCCTCCACCACGACCCCCTCTTCCACCACGTCCACGTGGAGTACCTCCACCTCTTCCGCCTCCTCTACCTCCGCCACGGCCGCCACCTCCTCCTCTTCCACCAAAGCCACCACCTCCTCCTCTTCCACCGCCTCCACCCCTTCCACCAAAACCACCTCCTCTTCCACCACCTCCTCCTCTTCCACCAAAACCACCTCCTCTTCCACCACCACCTCCCCTTCCACCAAAACCACCACCTCCTGGTGAGAAACCTAGAATTATACAAAGTATTATTAGATCATAATCTTTCATTAAGATTCTCTATTTAAAAAAATTAATATATTTCAATTTTTCTACATAATCACGAGATAAAATACATTTATATTTTCTTATAAAAATAAATTAAAAATAAATTAAAAATAATTAAAATAATAAAATATAAAAATAAACTTTCTCAGACAAAAATAAAAAATTAATTATTTATTGTTTATAGTTATTTTATTTTTTATTTGAAAATGCATCGATTGTGTAGTAAATATATTAATTCAAACAACGCATGTGCATGTGAGAAAACAACACTCTTGGATTTGAGGTTATGAATTACGATGTTGACAAAATTTATTTTAATAGAGTAGATTTAGAAAAAAATAAATAAAACAGTAAAATAACAATATATATAATAACACACACACACACATACCTGGTTTACCCATATTTGTTTCTGTTTTAATTAATACTTGTTATTAAATATAAAATTCGACTTTAATTTTAGAACACGTGCGTCTCGCAGCTCTTCTATCCGAATTCCAAATGCCGTAGGAAAGATACCGGAACTCAAAGGAAAATACTCAATGGTAGTTCGATTATCGATACTATTGCGATAATTATCGAAATATCGATTATCCCTAGTAATATGCAAATCAAATTAGAATATTTCTTTTATTTATTCAGTATAGGATTATTTTTATAAATATATTTAGGATTATCAGAATTAAAAAATAAGCGGAATATATTAAATTTAATTTAATTGTTATAAGTTGCTTTAATTATGTTTTAATATGCTTTAACTTCATTCGACTTTAGGATTGGTAGTCTGTGTCTTGAAGTAAGTTTCTAAAAATGATATATAAATCAAATAATATTAAAATATTAATCTCAAAGATCATAAAGAAATGTTAGTGGGAATAATTAATGAAAATTTACATGTCTTTGAAGTGTAATTTTTCAGCTGTTAATGCAAGTTTTCTAATATGTCGAATCGTACTAGCAGCAGCTATTTGTACTTCTGGATCCTCCGAACCGACCAATCGTAATACGTGCTACGAAATATAAACATTGTATGAGTTTATTTAAATTGATGGAGTTTATTTATAAATTTATAATCTTGTATGAGATATACCTTTATAATGCCACAGCTATGCATGGTTACACAGTTCATAGGGTCTTTACTTAAATGATACATTGCAATACAGACTCCTTTGAGGACAGTTTTGTTTTTACTGTTCATATAACCGACAAGAGGAGCAACTGCATTAAGTTTACCAAACTCAGAACTATTCTTACCCCATTCACAGCAATATGCGATAGCTAAAGTTAGATTAGTTCTAAGATCCTCATTTTCCTTAAAAAGAAACAAGAAAATATTAAAAATATGTAAATATTGATAATTAGAATTTCCAAGTCTTATTGTTAAATTATTATTAACTGTCTTAGCAAGACTAGCCAATTTAGGCACCACTCCATGATCAGTTAAAATACCAAGATTTTCAGGATCTAATGCAATTTGAGCTATTGTAGCACAAACAGCGCTTAGTACTTTAGGATTGGTACTATTCAAAAGACTGACTGTAAGTTCCAATCCACCTACAAAAGCTCGCACCATTTCAGGAGAATCTTTAGCGTATTTGATGCACGGAACTAAAGCAAGACAAGCATTTGTCTTGATAACATCACTTGGATGTTTTAATAGAGACCATAATAATCTAACACCATCTAATTTATGTCCAGGATCATTAATAATATCCATGCATTGTTCATCTTCTGCACATTCTTTTAATACCAATGGTATATTTTCTAATAACGGTTCATAAGTAGAACACAGCAATTTGATCTATTCAAAATTATAGAATTTTAATTTTCAAGTTATTCTATAATTGCGTAATTGAAATTTTAATCATGTTAAAGATAATACTCACTAACTTAGGTAATCCATCATGTGTTCTTAAGATTCCTCTATTTATGGGATCCTTACAACATTCAGCTAATGCTCCGACTACATTAGATAAAACATCTTCATCTTCATTTTCTTGAAGAAGAGGAACTAGAAATGCTATTAAATTGTTCTGATTAAATCTTGTTACATTTTCCGGACTTACAGCACATTTCCAAATAGCACCCGTTACTGCAGCTAATAAACGTTTATTAGCGCAGACATCCTGAGATTGTATGAGTTTACATAAAGGATCCAAACCACCAGCCTCTCTAACCATATTATTAGTTGTTTTATTTATTGCGCATTTGAATATAGCTAAGGCACAATTTTCTTTCAATTTCATATCTTCATCTTTCAAATGGTATACAATGTCGGCAATAATACCCATTTGTTCAAAAGCCAATCTGCACACTGTCTAATATTTTAAGATTATTAACAAATGAAAAGATTTGTAATTACGATATTAATTAAAGTTACCAGATCTGCACATTGCTGCACTGTTCCCATGATAGGAATTATTAAATCAGTGTGACGGCTCTTTAAAAAACGTGCCATAAGTAGAACAACTCCATGTTTTTGAAGTTCTACTTTTATTTTTGGGCTCACCGCTATAGAGTTTAATACTTTAGCACCGCCTATAGCAACAGCGATTAACTCTTTTTGAACATTATTTAATTCGTCAAAAGAACGGTGAAGAATATTATCCGGTATATCCATAATGTCCAGCTATTAAATGTGCACATTAAAATTGCATAGTTAAGAATGAATTATATAATAAATTAAATTTCTTACTAATAGAGGTATACCACCACGAACTCTAATTTGTTTTCTAGCTTTTCTTACTTGTGCAATAACAGCCATAATTTCAGCAGCTAGTATCTAATAAAGAAAAATAAATTGCTGATAAATTTAAAATTAATATAAATAACTTAAAAAAATAATTCTTAGAAAAGTATATAAAACTAACTTGAATGTCTCTAATAGGATGTTTAAGTAAATGAATGAGCGATGTCACAATACCATAATCAATAAGAGCACGACGCATTTCACTTGAAGTTACTATTAAAATTAACACAGACAAAGATCCATTTTGACATTTGATATCATTAGTTTCCAAAAGATTAACTAAAATTTCCAATCCTCCCATTTTTTCAATAGCTTTTTGAATTACCTGAATATATAAAAGAAAGTACTAGTTTGTGCAAAATACATCTAACAATGTTAATATTAAGAAAAAGAACTAACTCTGCTTGTAAGATCGTAATCTTTAAGTAGACACAAAGATATTGTGGTAGCAGTTTGATTTCCAGCTTTCATATATTTGATTAACTTTTGCATTATCCAAAATTCAGAGGAAACATCGGACACGTCATCTTTCAAAAATCTCATATCGTCGTCTCCTTCTGATTCTGGTTCGTCGTCTGAACTTTCATCTTCCTCTTTTTCCCTGACATAATGAACTCTTGGACCAAAGGGTTCTCCGGTGACAATCGATAATAATGGTTTTGGTTGATCAATTTCTGTTACCTCTGATATTTGATCGAGTTCAAATCTGTCATAATTACGGAAGATAATATTCATTAAAATTAATTTATATTTAAAAAATGTATTATATTATAAGTATTACAAAGGAAGAAAATATGTAAGTTATTAAAAATATTACTCGGTTAGAGATGGTTCTACTATGTCTAATTCCTTTTTCTTTCTAAGTAGCATTTTGTTGTATCGCAGTTTTTTCTTTTAACAAATTAGATAATTAAAATACAATACAAATATATGATTGCCATATTGAAAAGCAGCGATGTTATTCCAAAATATCTTAAAGGTCTTATTAGTGATAAACATTAACGAATTATTGATCAAACAATCGTTCGATGATATTATTACGACATTAACGGAAATCGACGATAAGTGTATAAACAAAAGTCAAAAATAAAAGTTCATTTTTTTATTTTTTTTTTTTAAATACATTTATTTATCAATTTTTATGTTATAGTATGTACAGATTTGTTTAATTTTTTTTTTTTAATATTCGGTGTACTAACTAATTAATGAATAATTCTTTACAATATCAAAATACAAATAGAATACATTGTGATTAATTAATAAATATCTAATACAGGTTACAAAAACAATAGGAGGGAGAGAGAAAAAGGAAAAGTGATGGAATAATTTAATTTATTTCATAGATATCAAATGGACACTTATTGAGTTAAAGAAATTTCCAGTTTTACATTATTTTTTCATAACAATCTTCTTAGGTCTTTGAAACTTTGCACAATGCGTAGGAACATTATTCAATATTTTCATTCTTGTCAAATGTTCATATCACTAAAAAATAAATTTAATACAATATTTTAATCTCCTTGTGAAATAGGAGAACCACGATCTCGTTTAGAACCTTTGCCCTTCCCCTTAGATTTAGTTTCCCTCTTTCTACTTAAGGAAGATGTAGAAGTCGTAGAAGCAGAGTCAGCAGGACTAGAATGACTGGATCCTTCTCGGTCCCACCGTGCTAGGGCATCTCTTAAATTTTGTCCATCGTTATCTTCATAAGTATCAACGTCTACGTGAAGATTATCTTGACCAGTTTGCGCACTTTTTTCAGATTCTAAATTCGCTCGCATTTCTTTCCTCTGATCTTCTGTATGTTGAGGACAACGCATAGATCTTGTACAAAGTTTTTTTGTGTGCTCAGATACTACACCACATATTTGCGTTAAGAGTGCTCTCTTATCTTCTAAGGACATATTCTCATAATTAGATGGTGAATTTTCATTGCTACTATGGATATGCTCGTTTAAATTATCCCCATTTCTTTGATTGTTCTTCTGTGATTTTGTTCTCTTTATTCCATTACGATCTTTTCTTCTCTTACGTTTATCATTATTTAAACTCCAATCCACATCGTCATCGTCATCACTTATTACTCCACTGAATGTACTAAGATCTTTAGAATTATTAGCTATTCTCCTTGATGCAATACGTGAACTATTACGACCCATACCCATGCACTTTTCTAAATGCGTTGCAAATCTACAAGCAGCTACGCCCCTATCACAATTTGGACAAGTACATTCTTGAGATTTTTTTACCGGATGTTGACCAAATACATCTAATCCTGGCGAATCTGGAATATGACAAATTGTTTAATTATTCTTATTAATTTATATCCATTTTAGTAATTTTAATTATTGTTTAATTTATGATGTATTATTATGAAAATAAATAATTAATATAATTTCTATTACAAATACTTAACTAGTTACAATGAAAATATTGACAAGTTGACTCACCTACAATAGCATACGATTCATCATCAGGAATACCTTCTTCAACATCGGAACTTCCTGTTTTTGTGGTTCTGTGTACATCAAAAACAAAACCCATTAAAACGTCGTCTAAAAGATCATCGTACAACTCTTTAGTAGCGACTTCCACGTCTGCGGGATTACTCATAAATTCCAAAAATTGTGCATTTAATTCATCAATTCTTTCTTCAGGAACAGACATCTTAAAGACTGTAACATTTGAAAAAAAAAAATAAAGTAATGAGACTACAAACTTGTCTAATTGTCTAAAAATTAAAAAAGAGTTAATCTCTATCATATTATAAAAGTATTTGTTACGTACCGTTTATTTTAGATTTTTATTTAATAATCCAAATTTTTACAATGGACGGATATAAATATAAAATATGACTTATCGTAATTAACAATAAGAAAATTAGTTAAACAATTCAACTAATTATTATGCTAATTAATATAATTTACATGTGTATACATTCCTATGTATCAACTTTTTAAATTACTATTCTTATTTACAGTCTATATATACATATATAGATTAATGTATATATATCTATATATCTATATATATACACATACACTGTTATTAAGGCAAGTTAAACGTTAAGTTATACTTTTAAGATTGTGATGTGAACACGACGTATATAATGAAAATATTCTGACGAAAAGAGATAAACCACGACATCTTTGATAAAATTTATTCTAACTCCTTTTAACACGTGTTCTCTTTTATGCGACTGTCACTTTACTAACCACAAGCTTAAATAATAAGGAGAACGATCGCTGTGTATAAAATTATCTCCAAAATATAGAACAAATAAAGTTTTATTCCAGGGTGCGCTGTAGCTGCTTAGCACATCATATGTATATTATATGTATACGAAATGCTCAACAGTTTTCTGTGACGTCACTACGATCAAAGTGATCACCACGCCGCCCTAGTGGCAAAAATAATTAATGGTATTTTGTTACTTTTTTAAGGGACGCAATTTATGACAAATTGCCATATATGTAATACTTCTATATGGACAGTTTCTATAAGTGGAAGCTGTTCCGACTAAGAAAGACAGAAGAATAACACTTTCTCTGTCCTCTGAGGTTCCAG